CTGAACTGATGGCTTCTGCCAATGAGTGTCAAGCTTGTCCTTAATCCAAACAAATTGCTGACTAAAAGAGACTGAATACGTAGCTGGCACCCACCCAACCAGGAGGTTTATAATCCCAGGGACTAATATAAAAGGAAAATTAAATGGGATCTCCTCTGTTAACTGCACAAGCCCAGCTCCTCCAGCCTACGTGGGGCTCTAAGTAGTAGCAAGCCAGTGTAGAGAAGAACTGGACCCGGGGCTGGAAAGCAGGTACTCACTGATTAATCAACTTCCCTAGCATTTCCCATCTGAGGCTCGAGCACAAGGGTGGGCAAACTTTTTGGCAGGAGGGCCACATCGGGGTTGCAAAACGGTATGGAGGGCCAGGTAGGGAAGACTGTGCCTCCCCAAACAGCCTGGCCCCCACCCCCATCCGACCCCTCCCACTTCCCACCCCCTGACTGCCCCCCTTAGACCCCCCCCCACCCATCCAAAACCCCCTGCTCCTTGTCCCCTGACCGTCCCCTCCTTAACTGCCCCCCCTCCCAGGACTCCACCCCCTATCCAACCCCCTCGCTCCCTGTCATCCCCCTCAGGACCCCCCCAACCCCCCGAGACCCCACCCCCTATCCAACCCCACCCCTCCCCGCTCCCTGTCTTCTGACTGCCTCCGCCCCATCCAACCACCCCCTGTCCCCTGACTGCCCCCAGGGACCTCCTGCCCCTTATCCAACCCTCTCCTCCCCCTGCCCTTACCAGGCCGCTCAGAGCAGCAGGACAGGCTGTGAGGTGGGCGGGGCCAAGCTGCGCTGCGAGGGAGGGGAGGAAGTGGGAGAGGGGCCAGGGGCTCCAGCAGGTCAGGGGCCGGGCAGGATGGTCCCACAGGCCATAGTTTGCTCATCTCTGCTCTAGCATGTCACAATACTCAGCTAAGCCTCTCAGCCCCATGTAAGTGGGTATTATCCCCATTTCCCAGGTGCAGAAGGGGAGACAAAGAACTCCCCAAGGTCGCACAGCAATTTGGCAGCAGAGCAAGGACTAGAACTCAAGAGTCCTGACTCTGCTACTCAGCCACAGGGGGGCCCTCAGCAGGCCACTGAGCCTGTCCATTACTTAGTTTCCCCTACCTCACAGGGTGCACGTATGTGTGTGTATGTGGGGGGAACAGGACTAAATGAACACGTGTTCATCAAGGGCTTGGAGACCGTTGGATTTTTAAAAGTGCTTTTGCCAGGCTTAGAACTTACTGATATCAGACAGATGCTACCACTGCGCTCACCAGCAGCGTCTCCTAAACCTCCAGGAGTTTAAACTGAGACCTGTTATCCAACCTCCCAACCACAACCAGAAAAGGGGGAGGAATCTGAGATCCCAGATGATACACTGCAAGTCCAATCTGCTTCACCACTCTAGGTAAATACAGGGAAGAAGAGAAGTGCTGAAGGTAAACACTCTGAAGTTTGTCAGATTAAAAAATATCAGATTTGTTTTAAAAATAATATGCTATACCTCACTATTGCCTAGATTATTAAAACTGAAGGCACTTAAAAAAAAAATGTACTTTTCACCACTTCTGCATCTCTCCGCTCAGTAATAAAATTGGATGAGTCAGTTTGTCTGATTTCTAGTTGGTTTCACTTCCTGTTTAATGTACCAACCAGCAAAATGCAGAGAAATCTGGGTTGTGAACACTGCAGGGAAATCTTTACATCTAAAGAGAAGAGTTGCACAAAAGTATTTCTATTAATATCAGGTTTTCAGGATTTGCTTTTTTAAATAAAGAATAAACTCAAGGTTTAAACATGCTGAAAGAGACAGCACTTGCTCTGACCAAGTGGTAAGAGCATCCCCTCACATGCAGCCACGCCTGCCAGACAGCCATGTGATTTTAAAATGCCTTGTTTTGGAGGCCACCCTCCTCTAGGTAGGCACCTATCACTCCATCCACTGCAGCAGAAGTTATACTGATGGCTAGTCTCCTTTCCAGCACTAGCAGACAAACTGGAATGGCAAGGACTGTTTCTAACTTACTATCACTACCATGTCAGCACCCTGCAAAGCATGACTCAGCTCTCTGGACTGCATTAGAAAAAGCTGAGGAAGGCCCAACTACTTATGGTCATCAAAGATCCCATAAAAAGAAAAGGAGGACTTGTGGCACCTTAGAGACTAACAAATTTATTTGAGCATAAGCTTTCGTGAGCTACATCGTTGCATCCGATGAAGTGAGCTGTAGCTCACGAAAGCTTATGCTCAAATAAATTGGTTAGTCTCTAAGGTGCCACAAGTACTCCTTTTCTTTTTGCGAATACAGACTAACACGGCTGCTACTCTGAAAGCTGTATAGAAGGACAGGTGCCCTTCCTCCCCAAAAAGCAACAAGAATTTTTGCACATTGTACAAAAATAATATGAATTAATACTAACCGAACATTTCTCAAACAAATCTCAAAGATGGGCAAGTATTTTCTTTTACAAAAGTTAATACAAAATGGGCAAGTATCATACTCATTGATAGAGATACAGAGGGGTCCCAGGGACACAGCCCACTTGAAATCTAGTTAATTTAAGAACAAGTTAAGACAGTTTCAGACACTACCCTTGCCCCGACTCCCCAGGGCCAATTTTTGTTTTACAATCACTTCCCCCACCCGCCCTTTTTGCTGTGTGAAAGGTCAACAGAGAAATTGACCCGCACTATCAGGGAAACAATGAAACTGACCCTGAACAAACTGCTGTCAAAGTCACAGAGACCAATCTTTCAATTCTAGAAATTTTAGGCATTGTTGGTAACAATGGTAAGTAAAACATCCCCAGACAGAAGAGCAATATTTAAGCTGGTCTCTTTCTCTGTGACCTAACACAGAGGAATTCAGTGATCAAGTCTCCTATCTGCAAGTCCCTGCTTTATAACACTGCCTCTCCTTTATCATAGCACAGTATTTTACAGCAGCAAAGAGTTCTCAGTTAAGCTTCTAGTTTCTAAAGATGTGAGATTGAGAGTACAGCTGCCCCTTTGCTCTTTTATCTACTTTCTTAGGACCTGATTCAAACTCCCTTAAAGCCAATGGAAGCCTCCCACTGTGGTTATCACTGGCTTTAACAGACACTGGATTGTGTCCTTATTAAATAAACATTATTGAGACAATCTCAAAATGCCTAGATTAAATACATTATTGATTACAGTGACATGGGGCAGGATGGCTCCCACTTGTCTACACTTCAAAGTTATGTTGTCATAGCTGTGTCAGTCAGGGATATGAAAACACACCCCCGTGACATAGCTCTGCCAACAAAACCTGCAGTGTAGATGCAACTATGCCAACAGAAGAGGGCTTTGTCGAGGTAGCTAATGTCGTTTGGAATGGTGATGTTCCTACACTGGCAGAAAAACTCCCGTTGGTGTAGTCTGTCTACACCCTAAAGGGCTATGCTGACACAGGCTATGTAGACACACCTATAGTTTGGACGAACTGGGCATCGAACTCTAGCAATCGAGGGTCCGTGTTATGAAATCCTCCCACAGGAGGTCTGCTCGAGCCCCTTTAGGGCACACAGCAGGAGCGACCCTGTTTTGACAGGCTTTTCCATAACCATTTGGGGCTCCCTCCTAGGGGATTTCTGCCCCTCCTACCTCCTTTAGAATCATCTCTTTGCATCACCTGGGACTTTATCCCATTTGCTGGTGGAGCAGTTCCCCTTGAAGGTCATTATGTCTCCCATTTGCCTCTCTCTGACAGTACATTTGATCTGGTTGGGGCTCTTGACCATTGATATCTGGTACTTTGGCTTTATTGAACAGGGCGGAGCTATCCCAATGAAAAGCAACTTACAAATGGGTTAAATTAATACTGCTCTCTTAGAAAGTCACTGGGTCCAGACACATGGGAATGATGGAAACTGTCTCTTCCTCATTTTAAAACCCAGGGGAAGCAAATACCCAAGACAGACACTCAATCTAGCAGGGGTACCAAACCGGGCTTTAGATCCAGATTTACCAGCATCCCATAAGGCCCTGGTGCTATCTCACTGCCAGTGAGAATTACTCCCACCAGAAATAACAAGCCATAGAACAGAGCCCACTCCAAGCTGGACTTGGCAGCTTCCCAGGCCTCCTCTCACAACTGTTGTCTCTCCCAGCATGTGCAGCAATGGGGTACGCTGTGTCACCGGACGGATCCTGAGGTGCAGAGGCCAGAGGAGGGAGAGAGAAGAGGGAGGATGTGGTGATGGGATGGGTGGGGTCCGAGGAAAGTCACGGTAAGGACATTACTTGCCATGGCCAAGTCTTGCTCACTCAGAACAAGAGATTTTTAAATCTCTCCCTCTCATGACAAAGGGTGGCTCAATGAGACACGAAACACTTCACTCCTTTAAAACTCTCCCAGCTCTCAGCCTTGGAGCATGGAGGGGTGGGGGTACCAGCAAATGCAGCCCCACCTGCCACCTCCTCAGGAGCATCTGAGCTGCATCAGGGCTCGCAAGGGGTGCAGCTTCCAGTCACGGGGGGGCTAGGGGGTAATGAGAGCCGGTGGGCCCGGAGCACTCGCTAACACGGCCAGGCCAGCCGCCCTGGGCATGGGGGGCATCTTCAGGCTGGGGGGAGGAGTGGGGAATATGGACCGATGTGTCACTGTGGGGATGGCAGGGGCAGACTCGGGCCTCAGGCCCAGCCCCCCCACACTTACCCCACAGTGACCACCCCCAGGATTATCCGCTGGAACAAGGCCCCCCCCGCTACAACCCCCTGCCCTCCCCGTCAACAAGTCTCGCCCTCCCCCGCCCCAACACCCCCCACACCCTCCCGCCCCAACACCCCCCCCACACACCCAACGGCCCCCCACACCCGCCCCCTCCCGCCCCAACGGCCCCCCCTACACCCAACGGCCACCCACACCCGCCCCTGCCCCAACACCCCCCACACCTTCCCCTCCCGCCCCAACGGCCCCCCCCACAGCTTCCCCTCCCCACACGTGCCCCTCCTCCCCAGTCTGGCCCCTGGGGGCTCCCCCCCCTCACCTTCTTCACGGCCGGGTTGAACCCGAACTCCCCGGCCTCCTTGAGGTCCAGCCAGATCATGGGCATGCGGGGCACGGCCTCCATCCCGGCCGCTCCGCCGGCGCCGCTCCGCACCCGGAACGCAGCAGGCCCGGAGCCTCCCGAGTCCCCGCCCCCGGCCCGCCGCGGGGCCTCACCGGCCTCACCGGAAACCGCCCTCCGGAAGCCGCCGCGGCGCCTGATGGGAAATGTAGTCCTGACGCGGACTCCCCCTCTCCCCTGCTGCTGGCGGGCGGGGCACAGGCTCCTCCCCTAGGGCCCCGCCCTCACTGCTGGGCGGGACAGGGCACAGGCTCCTCCCCTAGGGACCCTCCCTCATTGCTGGGCGGGGCAGGACACAGGCTCCTCCCCTAGGGACCCTCCCTCATTGCTGGGCGGGGCAGGACACAGGCTCCTCCCCTAGGGCCCCGCCCTCACTGCTGGGCGGGGCAGGGCACAGGCTCCTCCCCTAGGGACCCTCCCTCATTGCTGGGCGGGGCAGGGCACAGGCTCCTCCCCTAGGGACCCTCCCTCATTGCTGGGCGGGGCAGGGCACAGGCTCCTCCCCTAGGGATGCTCCCTCACTGCTGGGGTTCAGGACACAGGCTCCTCCCCTGCTCCTGTGGGGTGGGTGGTACACAAACGGGCTCCTTCCATCCCTAAGGGTGTCACTACAGAACCCCCCCCACCCCCACATTCTCCGTCCCTTGCTCCCCGCCTTGCACTGCTGCATTCCTCAGTGCTGTGGCCAAGAGCCGCCTGCAGTGGGTCCAGCTAGGCTCTGGGGCCCGGCATTCAGCCAGTGCCATTCCCCTGTTAAACTGTAGCACGTCACAGTGGCGCATGGGCTGGAGCCCCTCTCAGCGCTGAGGTCTGAAATGATCCGGGATCGGAAAAGACCCCCGCAGCCTTCCACCCTGGGCTCAGACCCAGCCAAGATCAGCTGTGAGCGGAAGCTCTGCCATATTAGGTGTCCCGTGTGACACAAGGGCAGCGGATCTCACACCCAATCCGAGCGGGCAGGTCTCCATGTAACAAAACCCACTGCAACTGGGAGGCCCCGGACTGAATGCGTCTGGAGACAGGGGGCTCTGTTGGCCAGGCAGGCAGGCGCTGCAGGGCCCAGCTGAGACACACTGGCAGGGCTCAGGGGGTATGGGAAGATCGCCCGACTACTGCCCGTGCTGTAGCAGCTCAGTGGATAATGGCAGATGTCAGACTCCAGGACTGTCCAGCTGTCTCTTTTAACCAGCGTCGAAATTCACTCAACAAGAATCACCTTTATGATAATTTCACAGACACATTCTGCATTGGAATCCAGGCCCCCATTAATCCTCCAGTAAAAAGCAACCGACAAAGAAGGACAGAGTGGGGAAAAAACCCATCACACTGCTGCTCAAATACTGGATCTGTTGCTTTCCAATAAATGCAACTGGCAAACGTGGCTGTGGTGAGGTCTGGCCCATCTGATCCCTTGACCCACTGAGTGCAGGACATGGCACGCCCGTGGCTCACACCAGCACCTAATGGAGAGGGTGCATAGGAAGCACCTGGGTAAAGATGGCTGGATAACATTGGGGCTGGGAATGGGACCTGATGAGACCAGAGAGCTTCTTGCAGACTCCCCTGTACTGAGCTAAAAGATCTTAGCTAAACCAAAGCATTTCTTTGCCTGCTGCCAATAAGCCAGGGGCTGAGAGCAGCGGGAGAGGTGGGAGAGGGTTGGAGGGACAGCTCCATTCAGCCGCTGGCCGGTAAATCGGTGTGCTCTGCCCTTCTGTTCCAAGCAGAGAGTCTTATCCATTAGTGAACATTCCCAGGCCAGGCCCAGCCCGGAGCCTGCAGACAGCACACACTGGTAGCGGCCACATCCTCCAGACCCAGAGAGGGCTGAGCTGACCCTAGATTTCATGGGGGGCTCATGTGAAAAAAACAACTTCTCCCGACACCCCCCACTCCTGGCTGCATCCCGTCTCCGCACCTCAATTCCCTCCCACACCAGAACAGGTGTGACTCCAACCCAAATGCAGGGGAGACCCTATATGTGTGGGAGGATGCCCTTGGATAGTGAGGGGTTAAGGGGGATCATCTAGCCTGGGGGTCCCAAATGTGCAGGCCCTGGGGCAGCTGCCCCTGCAAAGGAAGAGAGACATGTGAGCAGCAGTGGAAGAGGGGGAATGTAGAAATCACCATGCTGATCCAGCTGGTCCAGTAGCCAGTCTCTGGCCGTGAATGATACCAGCTGCTCTGGAGGCAAGAGCTGGGAACTCCCAGCTTGGACAGACATACAGTAAAATACCCCTGGGGGAGATCTCTTCCTATCCCCAGACTTGTGCCCTGAAGCACGGGGCCCATGATATAGAGAAAGGCCTTTTGGGAATGCTTCTATGCTCTTAACCTCCATGATATCTTGTGGCCATGAGTTCCAGTGGCTAATCCCAGCTTTAGCTGTGACACCTATTGATTGCTTTGTGTCCCCTTGAGCTTCTAGCAGGAGAGGATCAAGCTGTCCTGTCTGACCAGCTGAGGTTCAGCTTCTGGCCTACTCTCTCCGCATCCTGCCTTGTTTGATACCTCTCTAGTGCATCCCCTCTATTAGTTGGAGTCAGCCCACCTGTGAATGAAGTGGGAATGTTCTTTATGCTTTCTCCGAATACTGTGTGGGTGCCTCAGTTTCCCCTCTGCATTTCTTAAGTATCTAGGTGGGGGGGATGTCACAGAGTCCCTGGGCGATGCTCTGGAACTGCTCCCCATGAAGCCAGTCAGGACTCTGGGGAAGTCTCCTCTCTGGGAGCAGCCTGTCTTCAGGACACACAACGCACACAGCTTCCACCTTCCTGGGTCTGACCTCGGAGCATTCAGCATCCTCTGCCCCTCCGTGCGCTTCCCACAGCGAGTCTGCTCAGGCAGGGCTCCTGGGGAAGCCAGAGGGTCCTGCACCCCAACTTCGCAGTCAGACGTGACTCTCAGCCAGCCAGTAACACAGAAGGTTTATTAGATGACAGGAACATGGTCTAAAACGGAGCTTGTAGTTGCAGAGAACCGGACCCCTCAGCTGGGTCCATTTTGGGGGCAGTGAGCCAGACAACCACGTCTGCTCTTCACTCCATGTCCCAGCCAGCCCCAAACTGAAACTCCCTCCAGCCCCTCCTCCCCTGGGCTTTGTTCCTTTCCCCGGGCCAGGAGGGCACCTGATTCCTTTGTTCTCCAACCCTTTAGCTCTCACCTTGCAGGGGGGAAGGGCCAGGCCATCAGTTGCCAGGAAACAGGGTGTCGGCCATTCTCTGTGTCCAGACCCCTGCACACACCTGCCCTCTAGGGCTCTGCAACGATCATACACCCTTATCCCACCCCCTAGATACTTAAGAACTGCATAGGGGAAACTGAGGCATCCCCACACGATTCAGAGGAAACATTAAGAACAGTCCCACTTCGTCACAGGGGATAAAGGTGTGTAATTGTTGCAGAGCCCAAGAGGGCCAGTGTGATGGTGTCTACACAGAGAATGGCCAACACTCTGTCTCCTAGCAACTGATGGCCTGGGCCCCTCCTCTGCAAAGGTGCGGACTGAAGGTGTTGGAGAACAAAGAGATCAGGCGACCTCCTGGCCTGGGAAAGAGACAAAGGGGAGAGGAGGGGCTGGAGAGTTTCAGTTTGGAGCTGGCTGGGGAAATGGAGGGAGGGCCAGATGGGGCTCTGGCCTCCCTGCCCGCCCCGAAGATGGACCTGACGGAGGGGTCCTGGTCTCTGTACCTACAAGCTCTGTTTTAGACTGTGTTGCTGTCATCTAATAAACCTTCTGTTTTACTGGCTGGCTGAGAGTCATGTCTGACTGTGGAACTGGGGTGCAGGACCCTCTGGCTTCCCCAGGAGCCCCGCCTGTGCGGACTGGCTGTGGGAAGCGCATGGTAGAAGAGGATGCTGAATGCTCCGAGGTCAGACCCAGGAAGGTGGAAGCTGTGTAAGCTTTTTGCCCTGGAGAGGAGGCTCCCCCAGAGTCCTGACTGGCTTCATATGGAGTAGTTCCAGAGCAACGCTCGGGGATGCCGTGACACCACCCCAGGAAGGGTGTGAGACCTCAGAGGAGATATAGGTGGGGAGAGGGCTGCTCCCACAATGTGCCTGCCTCACTGCAGACCCACAGGGACCATCTGGATGGGTGGTCGGAGAGGTCAGTCATGGTAGCCCATTCAGTCCTTGGCCTCTCTGCTAAGACTGCTGACAGGAGGGCTCATCCATTGCACATGTGAGCATGTCCCCTGGCGATGGGCTAAGACCCATTTCACAGAAGCCATCAACCAGTCCTAATTTCCAGTCACCTCGGACCTAGCACGGTTCTGAGCCAGTGCTGGGGAGATCTGCAACCCATGCCTGTCCCCTGGCCCATCCGACCCCCTGCGGGCTTGATCCCATGCCCCCTGCATCTGTCAGCCCCCTCCCCTCCGCTCCCTTTCTCCTTTGCTCTCTACCCTCAGACAATGGGCTCCCAGAGCTGGGGGCCAGATGTGGAGGCCGGAGGTATCTGAGGCTTCCCTGGCGCAGCGGCGTTTGTGAATTATTGATCTCCTCGCTGCGGAACATGAACATGCCGGGGGAGGACAGAACTCAGTGCCGCCCCCCCGCCGCCTGGCTCCCCACTCTGTTTCCATGGCAACCAAAGAGGAGGCGGAGGAGAGGGTACCCTGCCTAGGAAGAGGAGCAGCTTGGGAAGTCCCTCCTGAGATTAACCCTTTCATCTCTACAGGGACTGAGGCCAGGGTGCCGGGCACATCTGACTTAGGGAGCTGGGGATAGGTGCTTGAGTAGATGGACATGAGCCTGAAGGAAGGTGGGGGGGGGGGGTGTGGTGAGGGACATAGCACCATCCAGAGGTAGGATTGGTTGGGATCTGGGTTTTCCAAGCCCAACCATGATTCCATTATGGATCCCATTTCTTCTGGACGCCCAAGGACCCTGTCCCATTGGAGATGAACCCAAGCATGGCAGTGGTGGCCCCGGATAGAAGATAGAGACTGGGAGTGGGGGGGGGCCAAGGAGGGGTGGGGGTGTCAGCTCAGCCGTGTTTGGAGGGTAACACCTGGACATGATTCACTTCTCCATCTGCCCAGGTGGGCACTGATCACCTGCAGCCAGAGGGGCTGTACGCTCC